TGAGCCATCCATAGAATGGTGGAACATGGCCCCAGAACTCAGAGAAAGCTAGCTCCATAGGACCAGTCTGGGGTGACATCGTCTGAGCCCGGAGCCGGGGACCCAGGAGAGCTTGGTGCTGAGCAGGGCACATACGAAGGCCCTGGGAGGCCTGGGAGACAGGACTATGGGGTGGGGCAGGGAGGAGGCTCTGCAGGACTTTGAGTGCAGGCTGGATCTTATTTTAAATTCATCCTGAAAGGAAATGTAACCCAAGATGGTTTATGCTTCCAGTTCCTTTAATGTTCTGGAAATTTTTGTTTGCTTGCTTTTTTTTTTTTTTTTTTTTCCCGTATAGAGAGAAGCTCAGAGCTTCCCAGGCTAGGATGACCTCAAACTTGCAATCCTCCTGCTTCAGCCTCTAAAGAGTGCTGGGGGAAGTGGTGCTGTAGCTCAAGTGGTAGAGCGTTTGCCTTGAGCTGAAGAGCTGAGGGACAGTGCCCAGGCCCAGAGTTCAAGCCCCACAACCGACAAAACAAAACAAAACAAAACAAAACAAAAAAGGTATGCAATATATTAGCATCATACAATTATTGGGCTGGGATGTAGCTCAGTGGCAAAGCGCTTGCCTAGCAAGTGCAACGTCCTGGGTTCGATCCCTAGTACCAAAAAAGAAAAGACAAAAAAAATACAGTTTAAAAAAAAAAAAACGCAAACAAAAAAAAAAACCAACCCTTTGCCGGGCACTGGGGCTCATGCCTGTAATCCTAGCTACTCAGGAGGCTGAGATCTGAGGATCGTGGTTCAAAGCCAGCCCGGGCAGGAGAGACCGTGAGACTCCTATCTCCAATAAACCACCAGAAAACCGGAAGTGGCGCTGTAGCTCAAGTGGTAGAGTGCTCGCCTTGAGCTGAAGAGCTGAGGGACAGCGCCCAGGCCCAGAGTTCAAGCCCCACAACCGACAAAAAAAAAAAAAAAAAGAGTGCTGGGATGATGGTGTGCAATACTGCACCGGGCTTCTAATGTTTCTATAGTATGAAGAAGAAAGAGAAATCAGCCAGGTGCCAGCTCTCACACCTATAATCCTAGCTACTCAGGAGGCTGAGATCTGTGAGGACTGGGGCAGCAAAGTCTGAGACTCATGGCCAATTAATTAGAGCCGTGGCTCAAGTGGTAGAGCACTAATCTTGCTTTTTTTTTTTGTCGGTTGTGGGGCTTGAACTCTGGGCCTGGGCACTGTCCCTCAGCTCTTCAGCTCAAGGTGAGCACTCTACCACTTGAGCCACAGCGCCACTTCCAGCTTTATCTGCTTATGTGGTGCTGAGGAATCAAACCTAGGGCCTCATGCATGCAAGGCATACCACTGAGCCACCTTCCCAGCGCCTAGAGCACTAATCTTGAATGAAAAAGCCATGAGCTGAGCACCAACGGCTCAGACTTATAGTCCTAGCTACTAGCTACTCTGGAGGCTAAGATAGGAGGATCTTGTTGAGGGCCAACCTTGGCAGGAAAGTCTGAGCCTCTTTTTTTTTTTTTTGTCAGTCAGGGGGCTTGAACTCTGGGCCTGGGCGCTGTCCCTCAGCCCTTCAGCTCAAGGCAAGTACTCTACCACTTGAGCCACCGCACCACTTCTGGTTTTCTGGTGGTTTATTGGAGATTAGAGTCTCACGAACTTTCCTGCCTGGGCTGGCTTTGAACCAAGATCCTCAGATCTCAGCCTCCTGAGTTGCTAGGATTACAGGCGTGAGCCCCTGCCACCTGGCTTGTAAGACTCTTTTTTTTTTTTTTTTTTGGTTGGTCGTGGGGCTTGAACTCTGGGCCTGAGTGCTGCCCCTCAGCTCTTCAGCTCAAGGCTAGTGCTCTACCACTTGAGCTATAGCACCATTTCCGGTTTTCTGGTGGTTTATTGGAGATAAGAGTCTCACGGACTTTCCTGCCTGGGGTTGGCTTTGAACTGAGATCCTCAGATCTCAGCCTCCTGAGTAGCTGGGATTACAGGCGTGAGCCACCGGCACTTGGCTTGTAAGACTCTTATCTCCAATTTACCATCAGAAAACCGGAAGTGGAGCTGTGGCTCAAGTGATAGAATGCTAGCCTTGAGGGAAAGCGTTCAGGGACAGTACCGAGACCCTGAGTTCAAGTCGTCCCATAACTCACCAAGAAAAAAAAAAAGTAAAAGAAAACGCTAAAGGGCAGAGCTGGGAATGTGGCTTAGTGATAGAGTGCTTGCCTAGCATACATTAATACCTGAGTTCAATTCCTCAGTACCACATAAACAGAAAAAGCTGGAAGTGGTGCTGTGGCTCAAGTGGTAGAGTGCTAGCCAGAGCAAAAGAAACTCAGGGAGAGTGCCAGGTCCTGAGTTCAAGTCCCAGGACTGGCAAGAAAAAAAAAAGCTAAAAAACAGCATCCAAGCCCTGAGGTCAAGCCTCAATACTGGCCCACATGTGGTTTTTGTACCTGGCAGCTCAGATACTCATTCTGGCCCCCACCTCCTCCAGCTTAGGGCTGGAAGAGTTCGAGCTGGAGGCCCTAGACTGCATCCCCAGCACGTGGCCAAGGTACCTTAATGCTAACGTGGGTTTTCAAGCTTCAGCTGAGCCCTGTAGCTAACTTTGCCTTGGTGGTACAGGAGAATCAGACCACTGAGCAGCTTGGGACCTCAGTTACCCCAACTACATTTAGGGGATACTGTGGCTGCCTAGGCCAGGCTGGAGTAAGAGATTCTGTGGATGATGAAGTTCTGGCCTAGGTCTGCATACCCACTTATCAGGGGAAGTCTGGCCTGGAAGTTTCTAGAATCTAGGTCCCAGCCTGGGTGGGGTGAAGATCAACTAGTCGTGGACCCTCATATACTCCTGGCAACCTAAGCAGGGCAGCTGGGCTGTGTCTCCTCCCCTTCAGCCTCTAGCTGCAGTCTAGCTCAGGGGCCAGTGTCCCTCTGTCCTCTCCCTGGGGCTGGCTGGCCTGCCGGGGAGGTCAGAGGTCAGCTCCCCTCCCCACAGCCCTTGGAATGAGGATAGGCCAGTTACGCTAGCGCCTCGCAGCACAAAAGCCATACTTGGGGGAGCCTGGGACCACCCAGTTGACAGCCCTCAGCACACTACTGGGATCTGAGACAAGGGGGGAAAACAGGACCAAGGGAAACTGAGGCACAAAGTGGTTGACACCCCCTTGCCCCCCCTCCCTATACACTAAAAGGCCTAGTCAGACCAGGCTGGGGGCACAGAAAGCTGGAGAGGTGGGATCTGGGTCCTACTGTGTCCCTCAGGGGCTGTGAAACCTCAAGGCTCCTCAGCAACCTCTCTGAGACATGTTGGCTAGGAATGAAGACAAAGACTTGGGACTGGACCATCTGGTTTACCAGGAAGGGGATTTTTTTTTTTCTTCTCTCCCCTGGTTAGTCCATATCTTCCCCCAAGGGAAGAGTGAGTGGTGAGTGGTGGGTGAGTGGTGGGTGAGCCCCCTTCCTGTGTTTGTGTATTTCTGGCCGGAGTGGTTAGAGGCGGTGGACAAAGGGCCACCTGTGACAGGGGAGGGCATGCAGGTGGCAGTACAGTGATTTGTTTTTTTCTCCAACAGCCTAGGAGAAACCAGCTCAGGCTAGCCATGGCCGGAGTGGGGCTGCTGGGCTGAGCGCCAAGGTGGCCATGGCCTGGGGCCTCCCCTAGCTGGCCTACCTGGCTACCATGACCTTGAGCCTGTCCATCTGAGTCCCTAGCATGGAAAACAGTGTGTATGTGAGGGCGAGGGGGGAAGACAACCAGAAAACCACCCCAACGTTTGCAGTCCAATCTCTGGTTTGTGTGTGGAGGCTGGGAGTGGAGTCCACCAGCCACCAGGGCCCTCCGTCCTGTTTCCATGGGACTGGGTAGTAATAAAAGGTCAAGTGAATGCTGGGTGCTGGTAGCTCACGCCTATAATCCTTGCCACTCAGGAGGCTGGGAGCCAGCCTAGGCAGGAAAGTCCATGAGACTCATTATCTCCAACAAAGTACTCAGAAAAAGCCATAAGTAGAGCTGTGGCTTAAATGGAGGCTAATGCCTGTAATTCTAACTTCTCAGGAGGCTGAGATCTGTGGATTGTGGTTCAAAGCTGGCCTAGGCAGGAAAGTCAGTGAGACTTACTTCCCATTCACCACCCAAAAGCTGGAAGTGGAGCTGTGGCTCAAGTGGTAGAGCATCAGCCGTGCAAAAGCTCAGGGATGGCTCCTAGGCTCTGAGGATCTGTGTGCGCACACGTGTGCGTGTGCACGTGCGCGCGCGCGCACACACACACACACACACACACACACACTCTCTCTCTCTCTCTCTCAGTTGTCAGGAGGGGAAAGGATGCCCCCTGAGAACTGGGGGCCTCCTCTGGGCATAGTGCTGATCCTTGGGGTGAGGTGGGAAGCTCGCTCCACAGGGAGGCGGCTATCACTGGCTGATCTGAGCAGGAGCAAAAGGTCACGTGGATCTGGCCCAGAAGATGATGACATATCTATCACACAGGACTAAAGCTCCCTTCCAAAGAAGAGGAAGGCAGGGAGGCTATTTCAGGCAGGAATAATAAGCTGTGCAAAGGCCTGGCGGCGGCACCAGACTGCGGAGGAGTGATGGGATCCCCACAGTCTTACAGAGGTGTTATGGGATGTCTGAGGACAGGAGATGTGGCCCTCATCTGGTACCCTTCAACCCTGAAAATGGGGACCAGGTGTCCAGTGAGGCACTGTAGGCCACAGGACCAGGAAGGGAATCACCTCAGCTATGGTTTATTGCAGACTTTGTGGACATTTGTAACTAGTGGGGTGTCCTAGATCCTGAAGGGTTCGGAGCAGTACCCCCAGCCTCCATACTCCCCGCTTGCAACCTAGCTCAGAGTCCCCTGAGATGCATGTTTTGCCAGGGGATGGGGAGGGTATTTCCCTCCTGGAATTAACAGCTAGGTGAGAACCCCCTCTCCCAGCATCATGGGGCCAAGGTACCCAGATTCACTGCCCCCCTCCCCCTAAAAAAAACAGCTCAAGACACAGTCTGTTAAAGTCAGAAGTGTTTTGTCTGGTTTTAATATCTCATCAGCTTTACAGGGGTTACAATTGTCTTAAATATTTCTGAGCTTTAAATACAATCTGCATAATAATGTTATAAAATGTAAACTTTCAGTGTTTTTTTTTTTTAATTTCAAAATCGCACCTTTTTTTTTTTTTTTTTTTGGTCTTTTCAATTTTTTTTCCTTTTTTTTTTTTTTTTTCCTTTTAATACCTGAATGTTCTGGACAACTGAAGTTGTAGCAGCCTCCCTGTCCTTCCACAGGATGACTGCAGGCCCAGCCGGAGGTAGAGAGCAGTTTATAACCTTTATTTCTTTAAGTTTATTTTTCTTTTACCTGAGTTTGGGCGTGGTCGGCACGCCTTCTGACAAAGCCCCAGAGAAACTGAAATGTCACAGATTTGAAAATGGAACAAGGCTGTTTTCATGTTTGCCAAAAGAGGGGGGGGGGGAAATGCAAAAGCCAAAATTGGGGGGAGGGAGGAACAAAGCCGATAGAATAAAAGGGGGGAAAATGCGACTATACAGAAAATGCACAACTCAAAAAAATAAACAAAAACAAACCTAACCCAGCCATCCCCACAGCTGGTCAGCCAGCTCCATGACAGCAGAAAGGGCCACAAGGAACATTCTGGAAACAGCCTATCCAAGGATAGTGGCCCCACCCTCCATCCCCCCTTTCCACAGCCTCTCTTTGCCCTGAGTTTGGAGTTCCCCTCTATCACCTTTCAAACTCCATGCATGGTGCCAGATGTACAGGGCACAGGCCCGGCCTCTCCCATCATTTGCATAAAGGGGTGCTGACGACACCCCCACCTCAATATGCCCCTTTCTAAACCCAGGGTAGGTGGTGGATGGGAGATGGCTGGGGTAGGAGACCCACGGGGGAGGCCTCTGGAAGAGCCCAGGGGTCACACAGACCCCCTTCATTTCCCAAGCTGCAAAGCCTTCCCCCTCCTCAGCCATCTGTCCTACACTATGACCCACAGGCTCAGGGTCCCCAGTTAGGGGTCCAGTTCTGCCCAGGCAGGATCCCCCCCCATCAATCCCTCCAAGACCACCTGGGAGATATCCAACTGCCATGAGGGGGGGTGGAGATGGAGGTGACTCTTGGTCCCTCTTGGGGAGGGGGAGGGGGGAAGATGAGCTGGAGGATGGGAGAGGAGGCAGGCAGAACATGGTATTGTTTTTTGGCATCAAAAAAGACCTGAGGTAGACAGAAATGTGCAGAGGACATTCCTTCCCCACCCCCACCCCCCCAGGTGCCCCAGCCTGGCAGGCACAGGGACAGCCCGGCTGAAACCCTGGGCGGGAAGGGCAGAGCCTGGCCACACAACCAAATGCAGCCAGAATTCAGATAGCTCTGAAGGGAAAGGACTGAGTCTGGGGAATCAAAAGTACCCATTTTCCAGGAATGATTGTGCTGCGAAGACACCCGCCTTCCCCCCCACCCCCACCTCCCTACATGGGGCAGGGCAGAAACTTCCAGAAAGAAAAGTCAAAAAGAGGCTACCATCCCCTCCCCTGGAAATGAAGGGAGGGGAGTGTATTGATCACCCTGAGATTTAGAAAGAAATAAGGGCCCCTGCCCCTTCCCTGGTAAGGGGTGTGTGGGGAGGGGGAACTAAGAAAGAGAAGTTGGGCTGGGGGCCATGGACGCCCCGCCCCCACCCCAGAGAAAGGGGCTCTGAGGGCTCCAAACTCCCGCAGCAGCTTCTCCTTACGCCAGCCTCCCAGGGGCCCCATTAAGACATCTTGGGGCCACCAGGGACAGCCAGGTTGACTCCCTGCCACAAGACACCAAAACGCAGTGCAGCCATCACGTGCTGCTTTGCTGGCACCAGAGGACCGTGGCAGAGACACTGGCAGAAAGACCCAGCAGCTCCTGGAGGGGTCAGGGGCCTTCTGTCCCAGGCTGCTGCCACTTTTAATGACTGTCCCCTAGGCCACAGGAGCTGGCCACCCCATGCTAAAAAGGGGCAGGGAGAAGACAGAAAGAGAAAGGAGATGAGAAAGTAGGGGTGCCGGCAAGGCTGAGGCCCTAAAATCCTCACCCTGAGCTAGGCCTAGCTTCACTCAATCACCCCCATATTGATAGTCCCCCAAAGCAGCCCAGCAGATCATCCCTGAGACAGGCAAGGCCCTCCCTCACACACCCTTTTCCAGAACTTTCTACGTCCAACACCCAGGTGTGCAGACAGTGCTGGCAGGCAAGACATGGAGATCGCCACAGCCCCCTGAGTGCCAAGATCCAGTGTTCCAGGCTTGCCAGCCACACAGGGAACCCCCCCCACACACCCAAAATAACCCAAGCCAGTTACCGGAAAGATTAAACAGGTTATTACTGGGTTGGATTTTTTTGCCTTTTTGTTTCCTTTTCCAAGACCATATTCCCTGAAAGAACACAAATATATAGATATAGAACTATATAGATATCCTAAGTCTGAAACTTCCCCACCCCCCAGAATAAAATAAGTATTTACAAAGCTAACCACCCCCCTCCAAAACCTCTTAAAAAAAATCCTTAGATTTTTTTTGAGTGTCACTATTTCTTTTTTTTTTTCTTTTCTTTTTTTTTAGAGAAAAAGAAAATTCATAGTTCCTAAAGCAACAGAAAAAAAAGAAAAAGTTTTTTTTTTTGTGACGATGGCTCAGGGGTTTCCTTCAACGCAAGGAAGGAGCTGGTGTGAATGTGTGATGAATAAAAATAAGATAAAATACAAATAATAAAAACCCAGCAGAACTGAGATCTGCACACTACAGCAATGCATGAGGTAATAAATAGGTTGACTTGGACCCCAGGGTGAGACCCCCCTCCCGGGGAGGGGGGGACACTCCTATCTTGTGGTGGTCCTCACAATCCATTTTTCTGAATGTCCAAAACCTTACAAATTCAAGTGTTCCTTGGTTTTCCCCTGTTTTATTAAATTTGCTTTATATTTATATTTATATATATATGTATGTATGTATATATATCTATATTTTTTCCTCTCCTTTTTTTTCCTTTCTTTTCTTTTTTTTTTTGTTTTTTGGCGTTAATGTGGCACCATTGTGGATCTCTACCCTCCCCCACCCGCATTTTCGCCTTTCTGGCCCCTGCCATGGTTGGCTGCCAGGACCCCCTACCCTGTGAGGGGGGAAGAGCTTGGCACCTCCTGCAGGGGGGAGGGGAGGAGGCGTGGGCGATTCCAAGGAGCTATTGGGTGGGCAGCAATGCGATGTGGTAAATTAAGGCAAGGCGTTATTTGAGGTAGAGGATGTGGGGGGCGGCGCAGACAGCCCCGTGGGCCCCGCCTGGCTGCCCCCACTGTTGCTGCTGATTCCGCTGGCTCCTCCTCTGCTGCCAGTGTTGTTGTTACCTGTACCCCCACTGCCACCACCTTTGCTGGCTGCTGAGGGCGGTGTGGGGGCCGGTGGCTGGGCAAAGAGCACTCCTGATAGGAGAACAGGAGAGAAACAAGTCACTGAGGGTTGGGTCCCCAAGCAGATGTCACCAGAAATAACAAGCTTCTTGACTCTTTCCAGGCAAAGACAATCCCCCTCAAAAAAAAAAAAAAATCCATCCCTAGATCCACCAGACAGGAATGGCTCTGACCCTCTGGGACTGTCCACCAAGCAAACCAGGCTGTACTGCGTCAGGAGCGCCTCCCAGTGGCTACTGTGAGTCAGGGCCTAATTCCACTATGAAGGAAACTAGGGGATGGATGGGGCGCAGTGGCTCCAGCCTGTAATCTCAAGCTACCTGGAAGGCACAGATCTGGCTTAAGGCTCAAGCATACAAGTTCATGAGACTCCTCTCAAGCAACAAACCAGGTATGGTGTTCATGCCTGTCATCCTAGTCATGCGAGAAGTGTACTTAGGAGCATCACAGTCAGAGGCTGCCCTCAAGCAAACATGTGAGAAAATATCTACAGAATAACTAAAGCAAGTCAGGCACTGGATGGCTCATGTCTGTAATATTAGCTACTCTGGAGGCTGGGATGTGAGGATCGAAGTTTGAAGCCAGCATGGACAGGAAAGTCTGTGAGACTCTTATCTCCACTAAACTACCAAAAATAACTGGAAGTGGAGCTATGGATGGGTCCAAGTGGTAGAGCACGAGCAAAAGAAGCTTAGGGACAGCGCCCAGGTCCTGAGTTCAAGCCCCAGGACTGGCACAAAAAGAAGAAGCCAGGCGCCAGAGGCTCACGCCTATAATCCTAGCTACTCAGGAGGCTGAGATCTGAGGATCACAGTTCAAAGCCAGCCCTGGAACAAAAGTCCATGAGACTCTTATCTCCAATAAACCACTCAGAAAACGGGAAGTGGAGCTGTGGCTCTAGTGGTAGAATGCTAGCCTTGAGCTGAAGAGCTGAGGGACAGTGCCCAGGCCCAGAGTTCAAGCCCCATGACCACCACCACCACCAACAACAACAAAAAAAAAAAAAGAAGAAGAAGAAAAAAAGAAAACCACTTGCGAAAGGAGAAAGAATACACAATAGAGATGACGTGCTCCTGCTCCTTTTCGTGCCAGTGGCTCCCTTGCTCCCTGTGCCCCATGCCTGGGCTCCAGCAGGCAAGAGCTGGGTCCATCCCATGGGCAGCCTGGCCTCCGGTCCCTACCTGTGTACATGATACCATTGATCTCCACCGACATGCTAATACTGTTGCTGCCGTTGGTGCTGGTCAGGCTCATGGCAGAGTCCTGGCGGTTCTCAGAGGCTGCTAGGAGAGAAGGGAACAAGAACACGGCCATTTAAGAGAACAATTGCTTTGTGGCAACTTCCTCCTTTGGGTGTCTCAGTCACTTGGCTTTGTTTAGTTTGAGAGATTTGCCTCCTATCTCCCCACCAGATTCTGGGTTCCATGTCCAACACTGCTAATAAATCAGGACTTATTTAGCCCCATGCCAACTGGCTCACATCTTGTAATCCTAGTTACTCAGGAGGCTGAGAATCTGGAAGATTCTCTTGGTTCGAAGTCAGCTCGTGCAGAAAAGTCCCTAATAATAACCAGTCAAAAGCAGAATGGGAGGCCTGGCTAAAGTGGTAGAGTACCAGATTAACAAACTCTTTAAAGCGAAGTTCTGGGGGCTGGGAAAGTGGCTCAGTGGTAGGGTGCTTGCCTTGCATGCATGAGGCCCTGGGTTTGATTCCTCAGTACCACATAAGCAAAAAGAAAAAAGCCGGAAGTGGCGCTGTGGCTCAAGTGGTAGAGCGCTAGCCTTGAGCTGAAGAGCTGAGGGACAGCACTCAGGCCCAGAGTCCAGGCCCCACAACCGGACCTCCCACCCCCCCCCCCCCAAAAAAAGCACAAAGTCCTGAGTTCAAGCTCCATGGAAACAAAAAATGACATTTCCTTTCACCTGAAGGAATTCTCTTGGGTCTGGTCATGGAGCCTGAACTCTGGGCCTAGGCGCTGTCCCTCAGCTCTTCAGCTCAAGGCTAGTGCTCTACCACTTGAGCCATAGCGCCACTTCCAGCTTTTTTTTCCCCTGCTTATGTGGTGCTGAGGAATCGAACCCAGGGCCTCATGCATGCAAGGCAAGTGTTCTACCACTGAGCCATCTTCCCAGCCTCACCTGAAGGAATTCTATCTGTGGGTTCTACATCTTTGAATTCAACCAACTGGGGATTGAAAATATTCAGAAAGACAATTATATCTGGGGCTGGTAGCATGGCTCACATAGAAGAACATCTGCCTGCTGGGTGCTGGTGGCTCATACTTCTAATCCAAGCTACTTATCAGGCTGAGATCTGAGGACCGAGGTTCAAAGCCAGCCAAGGCAGGAAAGTCTGTGAGACTCATTTCCAATTAACTACCAGGAAACTGGAAGCAGTGCTGTGGCTCAAAGTGGTAGAGCGCTAGCCTTGGGCAAAGCGCTTGGGCAAAAGAGCTCATGGACAGTGCCCAGGCCCTGAGCTCAAGCGCCATGACCAAAAAAGAAAAAAAAAAAAAAAGAGCATCTGCCTGGCATATCCAGGGCACTGGACTCCAACCTTAGTATTAAAAACAACAACAACAACAAACCAAGTAGCTTCTGAAGAGAACATGTTATTAATCCCTACACAATACAGTGTAACAACTCTGTGCACACAGCCGACATTGTATCAAGTTCAATGAGCCAGCTAAATAAATATGTGGTACTCAGGTCTTATGCAAACACAACCTGATGCTGGTACTGGGCTTGAACCTAGCTCTTATACTTAGCTTTATCCACACAAAGCTGGCACACTTTGAGCCACACTTCCACTTCCAACTTTTTGCTGGTTAATTAGAGATCAGGATCCCAAGAACACCCCCACCCTGGCTGGCTTTAAAAGTGTACTCTTCAGGCCAGGTGCCGGTGGCTCACACCTGTAATCCTAGCTCCTCAGGAGGCTGAGATCTGAGGATCATGGCTCAAAGCCAGCCCTGGCAGGAAAGTCTGTGAGACTTTTTTTTTTTGTCGGTCGTGGGGCTTGAACTCTGGGCCTGGGCGCTGTCCTTCAGCTCTTCAGCTCAAGGCAAGCACTCTACCACTTGAGCTGTACAGCGCCACTTCCAGTTTTCTGGTGGTTTATTGGAGATAGGAGTCTCACGGTCTTTCCTGCCCAGGCTAACTTTGAACCGTGATCCTCAGATCTCAGCCTCCTGAGTAGCTAGGATTACAGGCATGAGCCACCAGCGCCCTGCTTTCTGTGAGACTCTTATCTGCAAAAAAAACACTAGAAAACCAGAAGTGGCGCTGTGGCTCAAGTGGTAGAGCACTTGCCTTGAGCTGAAGAGCTGAGGGACAGTGCCCAGGCCGAGTTCAAGCCCCATGACAAAAAAAAAAAAGATCTCAGCTTTCTGAGTAGCTAGGATTATAGGCAGGAGCCACCAATGTCCAGCTAATCCTTCACATTTTTGAGACAGGGTCTCGTTATGTAGCCCAGGCTGCTGGAAACTCAATTTTCTTGCACCAGCCTCCTGAGTGCTGAGATTAAGGCATGCCCTATCATGACGATGCCAATCACCTGATATTAAATTCCAATAACTTGTAGATCCCCAGTGGGATGGAACTGAACAGTTTTTGTTTTTTTTTTTGCCAATCATGGGGTTTGAACTCAGGGCCTGGCCACTGTCCCTGAGCTTCTTTTGCTCAAGGCTAGTACTCTACCATTTGAGCTCCAGCACCACTTCCAGCTTTTTCTGTGTATGTGGTACTGAGGAATGGAACCCAGGGCTTCATGCATGCTAGGCGAGCATTCTACCACTAAGCCACCTTCCCAGCCTGAACAGCTCTTTATGTGAATTTACTAGCCCTACCTGTTGCTGTTCCTCCCCTGTATCTTTTCTTTTTTCTTCCTAGTTTGCCCTTTTTTGGGGGTCTTATTGATTTGGTCTTAGGATGGCTCTCAAGCTCTTATTTTGTCTGCTACAAAGGAGACACAGAGGGCCTGGGCAGCGGGTGGTACCTTGGCTGTTGATACGGATGCTCATGGGCAGCTGGGCTGTCATGGCCAGGAAGTTCTGCTGTAGGGCTCGCTGCATGAGCCGCTGGTGTTCATCTGCCACCAGGGCCATCTTCTTTTCAGGAGGCTCCCCAGACTCCAGTTTCTCCCGAAGTTGCTCCAGGGCAGCAGCCTGGGCTGCCACGGCTGCTTGGGCTGCTGCCGCTTGCACAGCAGCTGCTTGAGCTGCCACCACGGGGTGGCCTGCCAGGGACACAGGCAAGCGGCCCGGGACTGTGATAGGAAGGGCTGAATCCTCCTCTAGACAGAAGAAAAGCAGGTGGTTGGAGAGGCCGAGAGGGCCTGGCCCCCACTTCTACCCAAGGCATGAGGGGGACAGACCGCTCTTCTGCGGAGGAAGTGGATGGGTGGATGAGGAGGAAGTCAGGCTGTCTAAGCCAGAGCTGGTGCTCACACCTATAATCCCAGCTACTCAGGAGGCTGAGATCTGAGGATCACAGTTTGAAGCCAGCCCCGGGCCAAAAAGTCCATGAAGACATGAACTACCAAAAAAGCCAGAAGTGGAGCTATGGCTCGAGCTATGGTAGAGCATCAGCTTTGAGCACAAGAGCTCAGGGACAGCACCCAGGCCCTGAGTTCAAGCCCCAGGACCAGCAAAATAAATAAAGAAATCCATAAAGACTCCCCTCTTCTTGGGCTAAAAAAAAAACAACCCCATGATTGAGATGTCCTACTCTGACCCCTGCTCTCTTTTCTCCCTGACTACTTCCTCCCGCAGTCATGCATAACATTGCTTCTACTTGCTGGGCTCTTTGCTATAGGCTTCTGCAGACTCCATGCCCATGCCTGCAAGCTTTTGAGTCTGGAAATCTGCTTTTGACTCGAAGGAGCCCCCTGCAGTCATGGATTTGCCTTCCATCTTTGTGGATCTATCTGTTGACACTGTGGCCAGTGGATCTCATCAGCACCTATCTTGTCCATCATTGTCTTCTCCCCTCCCCAGTGTGAGGCTTTGACATGGCTGATGCTTAACTACCATTACAGTAGCATCTGCTGTTGCTGTTTCTAGGTTAGAAAGGACTCAGAGGCTGAGTGGGAGAAAGCCTGCCATCAACTGCTAACGTCTGTCACGGATGGGGAGTTTACCAGCACACAAAGACCCTACAAACTCCACAAATATCCAGTAACCAGCTCAGAAAAGCGCAGTGACTTTCCCCAGGGGTACCTAGCAATCAATTTACATGGTTTAAGGATCAAAATGATACATACTAGGACAATTTCCACAAGTCTGCCTGAGCCAGTGTGTTGAGGATTTCAAAGCTCAGAGGGAAAGAACACGGTGATCAACTAAGAACATCTGTCATGCTCCAGAGATGGGGGCTACCATGGATGAGTGTCTAGATTAGGAAAGGATACACAGTACTCTCAATCTATCTCCGTGTGGACATGAAAAACAGCACCTAATTAGCAATGTCTGCCATGGATAGAAGATAGAAAATGGCACTTGATATATAATGTCTGCCTTGGCACTGAACTGGGAAATAAGCACTGATTGATGATTGTCTACCAGGTGCAGACATGGGATTGGAGAGGTGGTAACTGATTGGTAATGCCTGGACAGGTACATTAGTGATCAGCTGGAAATGATTGATTGGTAATGCCTGGATGGGTACAGTAGTGGTTAGCTGGAAATGACTGATTGGTAATGTCTGCATGGGTACAGTAGTGGTCAGTTGAAAATGATTGGTAATATCTGCTGGAAACTCTCTTTCCTGCTCACTTTGGGTTTATGGTTATGAGATTTATCCAGACCCAAGGTGGTCCGGCATCCAGTCCCAGGCCCCTAATAGCCCCTCACCTTTCTTGATCTTGGGGGCTGGGGTGATGGAGCTGCCATTGGTGCTGGCAGCCAGACCTAGGGAGGGCACAGGAATCTTGGGCGAGGACAGCATGCTATGGGCCCCACCAGGCGAATAGGCAAAGAGTGAGCCTCCAAAGCTCTGGCGCCGACCCTCCCTTCGGTTGCTGTCGATGGCAGCCTGGAGCTCGTTGGGGCTACTCAGGCCCCGCCTCTCACACTCATAGGGGTATAGATACTTCATATACCTGCAGAGAGAGGAGAGGGTTGGTAACTAGGCTGACCAAGGCTCCCATGGCCTTCCACCAAGCCCTGTGGTATGGCACCATCCTGTCTCCTTGGGGCTGCTGTGCCTCTCTGCCTAACCATGAAGGGAGGTGGGTGGCCAGCCCAGGAGGGAAGACTGTCTGCTAATCCAAGAAGGGAGGTGGGGGTGGGCACCGGTGGCTCACGCCCATCATCCTAGCTACTCAGAAGGCTGAGATCTGAGGATCATAGTTCAAAGCCAGCCCGGGCAGGAAAGTCCATGAGAGACTTCAATTAACTACCAGAAAACAGGAAGTGGTGCTGTGGCTCACTCAAGTGGTAGAGCACTTGCCTAGAGCTGAAGAGCTGAGGGACAGCGCCCAGGCCCAGAGTTCAAGCCCCACAACCGACAACAACCAAAAAGAAAAGAAAAAAGAAGGGAGGTGGTGGGCTAGCTCAGAAAGGGAGGCAGAAGGCTAGTCCAGAGAGGGTGGCAGGCTAGCCCAGGAAGGGAGGTGGTGACTCTCAAGGCCTTCCCCATGACCCACAGAACCCGAGTTCATGGTCTTTCCCCGGGGTTCCGAGTCTTCTGGTCACCCTCTCACTCCAGCCCATGCTGCCCCCGTCCGCCCACCGCTCACTGGGTGCGCAGGGTGAAGGCAGCGCTGGTGATGGAGGTAGGGAGGTTGAGGCCTTTGGTGATCTCCCGCCACAGCTTCTTGTTGATAACCTCCACAAGGCCGCCCTTCTCTGTCACCAGCACATACAACATGAACAGGTCCAGCACCTGCTTGGCCATGATGGGGATCCGGTTGACGGGCGTGCCTGTGGGGAGGGGACGCGGGTGAGGCCAGGTGCTGCCGTGGGCGCCGCTGGGTCTGGTGAGCGCAGGCAGGGGCCTCTGGTGCACAGCTGGCCTGCGCTCTTGTACCCTGTTGGGGATATCCTGGGCCCTGCAGCGTGTCTGTTCCACGGAGGGGACCCTCAGTTGTGATAGCCGTACGTGCCCAGCATCCCCGGGATGGGTGCCTCCTACAAAGCGCCCTACAGAGGTCGCTGCACTCCGGTCTACACGAGCCTTTGCGGACAATACAAGCTTCAAGGGAGGGGAGGGGGCAAGATGAGGAGGGGACAGCATGGCCATTTGGGGACATGCAGGGGACCCACAGGCCTTTGTTACTGCCCCCCTCCCCATGTCTCTAACCACAACAGCTGCCAAAACAACACAGCCTTCAATCCCCAGGGCCCCTCCCTCCACATCCCTGTCCCCCAGGAGCTGTGCAGGCTCAGTGGGGGCAGGGAGGGTTGAGCTAACTTGGCTTTCAGTTTAAAGAACAGAGAATGTTGGGCCAGGCCTGGGAGGGAGGTGGTGGGCCTACCACCAAGTCAATGTCTGCTCTGCCCTGCCTTCAACTTCACTACCCCATGCCCGCTACAGACAGCCACCCCCCCCCCCCCCCCAGCCTTTCTGCTCACCGAGACTTCCTAGGGCCTTTGTACATGCTTCTTCTGTCTTTCCCTCATACTCAACAGAGGTGGGCGCAGCCTGGGCCTAAGGACAGGAGAAGCCTGACCCAAACATCCTCCATGTCTGAAATTCTGGGCTCAGGAAGCCATCTGTTTACTGACTATGGTCTCTACTGCCAATCTGTTCTATGCAGAGTCCTTCGCACCTAGCCTGGCATATATCACTCATTAACAACACTACGGTCAGGGGGTGGTGGCGCCCACCTGTAACCCTAGCTACTCAGGAGGCTGAGATTTGAAGATCCTGGTTTGAAGCCAGTCAGAGCAGCAAAGTCTGTCAGACTCTTATTGCTACTACACTATCAAAGAAGCTGGAAGTGGAGCTGTGGCTCAAGTGGTAGAGAGCTAGTCTTGAGCAAAAATGTTCAGGGACAGTGACCAGGTCCTGAGTTCAAACCACAGGAGAGGTGTGTGCAGGTGTGCGCACATGCACGCACGTACACACACATACACACGTACACATGTACATACACACACAGAGGAAACAATACAAGGGAGAGAGAGAAGCAGCAGCTCCAGATCTCAGTTGTATACATACAACTCCTGCACTACTCAGGACCTCAGCACCCCCCCCCCCGCCCCCGCCGTGGAGGACAGAAAGAACAGAGCCTCCCAGAAGGACTGCACTGTAAGACTGGGAGCCTGCGGGAGGATAGGGCGAACTGCTGAGACAGTGAGAGGTGTCGATGGGACCCCACATTTCAAGACTTCTGAGATGCATCTAGTTTGGAGGATCTTTTTCCCTTTCAAAACAAAACGATTTGGAGGGACCAAGGGTGAACAAAAGCAGCAGCGGTACTCACTGAACACTGAAAACACTACATTGAAAGTGAACTCTCAGGCTGGGAAGGTGGCTCAGTGCTAGAGCGCTTGCCTAGCATGCATGAAGCCCTGGGTTTCGTTCCTTAGTACCAGATAAATAGTTAAAGTCAGAAGTGATATTGTGACTCAAGTGGTAGAGCAATAATAGCCTTAAGCAAAAGAAGCTCAGGGATGGTGCCCAGGCCCCTGAGTTCGAGCCCCAGGACTGACAACTTGTGAGTGTGTGATGGGAGGGAAAAACTGGGAGAGAGTGAGAGAGAGGTAACATTGTCCAGAAAGAAGTGTACTCTTCACCTGACTTACATAATCGTAACCCCTCTGTTTATCACCTTTATAGTAACAATTAAAAAAATAAAAGCCAGGCGCCGGTGGCTCCTGCCTATAACCCTAGCTACTCAGGAGGCTGAGATCTGAGGATCGTGGTTCAAAGCCAGCCTGGGTAGGAAAGTCCATGAGACTCTTATCTCCAAATAAAACCAGCAGAAAACAGAAGTGGTGTTGTGGCTCAAGTGGTAGAGTGTGTGCTTTGAGCTGAAGAGCTGAGGGACAGCGCCTAGGCTCAGAGATCAAGCCCCATAACCGCCCCCACCCCCCACTCCCCTGCCCAAAACAATTACCGTCTGGCTTCATGAGGCCTTGGGGCCTCAGTTTCCTGCCTTGAAAAGTAGGGTGGCAACTGCCATGCCCCCTCCCCCACCAATAGTCTAGGGGTTTAGGTGTAAGTCTCACCCTATGGTGGGTATTTCTGGGACCACCTCCCAGCTCAACCAAGTGAAATAAAAAGGACATGTAGGAAAGAGAATAAGGGTGGGGAGCTGGACAAATTCTCAGTCCCAAAGAACACCTAAGGGGGAAAGAGTTTAGAAAGATAGCAGAGATTTTGAGGTGGGGTTCTGAGGGAAGCATAGGAGTTTGTTAGTAGTGATGGACACAGATCCTCGTGACTCTGTGTGAACAGGGGTTCAACTGAAGCATCTGGCTCCCTGGCCTTGCTGACCACATGCACAGGAAACTCATTTTTTGGAACACCAGACTGGGCCACTGAGAGCAGAGAATATGGTCCCCTCTAAGCCTGGGAACTGGAGGCCCCAGCTGAGGGGTCAGAGGGGCTCATGCAGGTGTGGAGCGATGATAAAAGAGACCAGGGTGATCTCTCTGGCCACACAAGGGGCAGCAGGCCTGGTCTGAGTTGGGGCCTGAGGATAAGATAGAGGGGCCTCCACCCAGGGACTGGACCTAGATGCCCCACCCCGGCACAGGAGGGGTTAACTAAGAGGCCACTGAGCTGGGCAGGGGGGTCTGGAGGCCACAGCCCCCCCCTTTCTCCTTTCCCTTCCGGCCTGGCCTGGCGGCTGTGTTTACACAAGGCCAGTACAAGCCCAGGGAGAGGCAGGGGCGGGCACACAGCGGGCTGGGGCAGCCCCTGCGAGGGCCCCCAGCTACAAGCTGCTGGACCACAGGCTCCCCTGGGACTGGACTCTGTCCCCTCCACCCCTTCCTGCTCCAGGGGCCCCCAGGCCACAGCCCCGCCTTGGGCCTCAGTTTCCTGCCCTAAAAAGCAGACTGGTAACTACCCCAGTCCAGGGGTTGCCCTAAGCAGGGGAGAGAGGGCACCCTGGGATCCTCACACAATGGGCCAGGACCTGGAAGCAAATGTTGGGAACATTGCTTATGGCCCTTCACACACACACACACACACACACACACACACACACACACACACACACACACACACACACACACGCACATGCACACGCACTCGCACGCACCCCTCCCAAGCTTGGTTTACTCTCATCATGAGGGACTGGGTGCCTGTCCTAGGCCTCAATTTCTCCACCACGACACACCTGTCTAGACTTGTCCTTGGTGGGTGTGCGCTGGAGGGGTCACCCCATGGTTTCTCGCTTCTCGGGTGGGGGACAAAGTGGGTCGAGAGGCAAGGTGGCTCAGCTGGTACGGTATGCTCAGTAAATGTGCAACACACCAGCAACCTTGCACTAGTGTGTGTCTGGGATCTCACTGGACCTTGAATTTGGGGGCACTAGTACACAGCAGGAACGAGCTGTAGCATCTGTGCTGCCGATGGAGAAACTGAGGCTCATTAGAGGGAGTGGGGGCTAGGCCGGGCCTGGAATCTCAAACTGAATTAGCACCTGCAGGACCAACAAGCACAGGGCCTTGTAAGGTCCACCAGGTATAGGAACCCACTCCCCCAAAAAGGCTGGCCCTGTCCCTCACCTGCAGGCCACAGCTTTGGGGGGGCAGTACTGGAAGCAGGGAACCCCCCCCTTCTTACCCTGTAGGTATCTCAAAGTAGAGAGCCTAAGCTGGGTGCTGGTGGCTCACGCCTGGCATCCTAGCTACTTAGAAGGCTGTGATCTGAAGATCATGGTTTAAAGCCAGCCTGGGCAGGAAAGTTTGTAAGACTCTTATCTCCAAAGAACCACCAGAAAGCTGGGACTGGAACTGTGGCCCAACAGCACCCAGATCCTCTGTTCAAACCCAGGACTGGCAAAAAGAAAAAAGAAAAAGAAAGGGAGCTTTGAATTCTGGGATGGCTCTCCCTATCAGACTCCACATTAGGACCCTGCTTCCTCCATCAGACTGTCATCAGTATCTTACCTCCTCCATTAGACCCTATGGCAGGACCTCACCCTGCCTCCATCCACTATCAGACCTCATGGCAAGACCTTTGCTTCCCCCATCTGACTCCACATCCAGACCCTACTGTCGGCACACCTGGCAGACAGGAGACTCACCTCGCTTCTGCATGAAGCTGAACAAATCATCCAGAAACTCCTTCCTCTTGGGGTCCCCATCAAGTTCATAGAGCTGTGGAGAGAGGGGAAGGGGTCAGCGGAGGACAGGAGCCATGTCCCCACGACATGGGGTGACCAAGGGACTCCCTGATTTTCCCTGAGCTGTGGCAAAGCAGCCCATGAGGCTGATGCCACAATCGAGGGGTGTAAGTGGGAGCATCTGGGGTTGGGGAAGGACAGACAAAGCCCACAAATTCAAAGGGGAGGTGATGCAAATAACAGGAATCGATCCCTGCCTGGAGGCTGAAACTCAGTTCTGCAGCGGGGAGAGGGGGCAGACCACAGCGGCCCCCACCCCAAGCTAACAGAGGTCCTTTCTGACTCTGCCAGAGCTTGGGGTCCCAGAGCCTCTGGGGGCTTGCGGCTGTCACCCCAATCCGCATGCTGACATGTTCCCATCTCCATCACTACTAATTCTATCTGAAAGATCCTAATTCCAACCAGTTCCTTGGGCTTCCATCCTGTTTTTTTTTTTTTGTTTTGTTTTGTGCTGATCCTGGGGCTTGAACTCAGGGCCTGGGCGCTATCCCTGAGCTTTTTTGCTTAAGGTTGGCACGTTACAGCACTGTGAGCCTCAGTTCCACTTCTGTGGTTTTGCTGGTTCATTGGAGATGAATCTCATGGACTTCTCTGCCCTGGCTGGCTTTGAACCATGACCCACAGATCTCAGCCTCCTTAGTAGCCAGGATTACAGGCATGAGTCACCGACTAGCACCCGGCTCCATACAATCCTTAATGGGTGTGTGAGACTATTCAGCCCACCCTGACAGCAACAACCACCAGGCTCACAGAGAGACAGATGCAGACCAGGGATGAGAAACACACAGCACTTTTGCTCCTAAGAGACAGATGAGGAAACTGAGGCATGGCAAGTATGAAGCCAGAGCTGGGAATGGGGTGAACCTTTGTCCCTGAGCTCCAACTGGTTCTGGTCCTAGCAGCTGAGTTCCTGGGGTCTCATCACTGTCTAGAAAGTGAGCCTTCAAAGCTGGGCACCCGTGGCTCACCCCTGTCACCCTAGCTATTCAGGAGGCTGAGCTCTAAGGATCACAGTTCAAAGCCGGCCTGGGTAGGAAAGTCCTTGAGACTCTTTATCTCCAATAAGCTACCAGAAAATGGGAAGTGGCGCTGTGGCTCAAAGCTGTAGAGCCCCAAGTTCAAGCCCTATGACTGACAAAAATTAAAAAAGAAAGCAAGCCTTCAGTATGGCAAGGCTGTGGCCAGGGGGTGGCGTGGGAGGGGGCTGGAGGCCGGGCTTTTGGGATCAGCAGCACATACACACTGGTTCTGGAAGATGGGCAGGGACTGGTGAGCTCAAGGGGAAGCGGGCAGAGGTAATTAGAAAGTGAAGATCAGGGAGGGGGCCAATTTACTGAGGAAGGGCAGAGCCAAAATACCAGGCTTCAAATTAAGCTCTTAGGAAAGCAGGCCTGCCCACTGTGGGGGGTCGTGAAACCACCAATTAGGGCCTCAGCTAGGATAATCAGTCATTAGTCCTGTCCCAAGTGCAGGGGCCCCAGGGCCTGAGCTCAGTACTGACTACTGGGACATTTCCTTGCCACCCTTTTGCTAATCTGCCCCTTGTCGGGCCTCAGTTTCTCCATCTGTGTAATGGAGACAAAAAGAGGAATAGGGTGGGGCGGAGGGGGGAGAGTGGACTTTCCAGAAAGAGAGGGAAGAGGAGTCCAGGCCTTCTATCCTGGGTGGTGGAGTCTGTGCAGAGGCCAGCTGCTCGGGCCTTTGTCTGTTCCCCACCCCCGGCCAGCACCAGACTGGCCTGCCCGCATTCCTGTGCTGATTTATGGTGGCCTGGGAGGCCCATTCCCCTTGAGCTGCCTGAGGGGTGGGGCCTGCAGGTAGACCCAGCTGGCCATGCAGGACCTGCCTCTGGGCGTGCACACACTGTACACATGCATGTGCGCGCACGCACACACAGACACACACAGACACACACAGACACACACAGACACACACAGACACACACACACACACACACACACACACACACACACACACACACACACACGGCGGCCTGATGTGTCCACCCCAGCCGGCTCCCTCCACTGTGCTAGCCCGGGGCTTTCCTCTGCTTTTCATCCTTAGAGCCTGTGGCTTCATGCTGGTGTCTGTGATTGGTTCACACTGGGCCCGGCATACAGCAGTCACTTAATAAAAGTTCCTCAAACCGACCCGACGCTTGCTCTCTCAGCTGCCGCAGGAAGGGCAGAGAGGGAAGTGACATTAGATAGAACTGTGGGGACAGGCCCAAAGCCACCGCTGCCTGGGCCAATCAAGGTCCCATCATGGAGCCGGATGCTGGTGGCTGACTCCTAGAATCCTAGCTACTCAGGAGGCTGAGATCTGAAGATCATGGTTCAAAGCCAGCTTGGCAGGAAAAGTCCAGGAGACTCTTATCTCCAATTAATCACAGAAAAAGCCGGAAGTGGAGCTGTGGCTCAAGTAGTAAGAGTGCTAGCCTGGAGCAAAAAAGCCAAGTGATTGAGCATGACGCTCTGAGTCCTGGTCTCTGTACGGGTGCGGTGTGCGTGCACACACACGATCTTGTCAGGCAGAAGCCCAGAACAGGACTGTTTTGGGGAGAAGGGTCTTTTGGGGATGTCTTCAGGTAAAATGGAGTGGGGTGGAATTGCATCCGCAAGCTCGGGAGGATGCAGAGACAAATGTAAATGAGGTTATAGAGGGAGGAACTGGGGTGGTGGCCCCAAGCCCAGGATGCTCCAAGCCCCAGGTGCTAAAGGAGGCAGGACAGGCCCTTCCCAGCCCAGATGGACATCCACCTCCAGGCCCAAGGCCTGGACGCCCCAGGCCGTTCCCAGGCCCATAGCCCACTGAGATCTCCTGGGTGGGTCCCTTCTTGCTCAGTTTTCCCACCTCTCCCCCAGAACGTAAAGGATAGAGATACAACAGCTTTACTCTGAACACCTAGAACCATAAGGCCTCCAGTCCCAGCAGGGAAACTGAGGCTGGGGCAGAAATAGCTGGATCAATTTAGTTGCCCAGGAAAGATGAACAGAGCCATTAAACCCCAAGCCAAATGGTAGATGAGGGGCCAGTAGCAGGGCATCGATGGACCCCTGTGGATCTGGGCCATTGACTCCAGGCCATAAAGAAGGGGAGACTCGTGGGGGGCCCCCAGCTGCTGGTGGAAGAGGCAGCTTTAATGTAGAAAGCTGACAACAAAGCGGGGTAGTAAAGGCTGCCCAGCTTTATGGGGCTCTGGGCCCCAGATCCGCTCCCCTGCAGGGTGTATCCCGCCCTGGACAGCTGGCCAGGGCCTCATATGACAGTGTCCAGGCTGCCCTAATCTTGTGGGGGAAAAGCAAAGGTGATATTTGTGGGCCCCAAAATGTCCTAAGTCAAGCCCAGGCCTGGCACTGCCTTGGTTCTCAGACCAAGGGGGAACCCAAGTCTTCAAAACATGGGTAATTGGTGGCTCATCTGCCCTAGAGTCTCAAACCCTGCCAGGCACTGGTGGCTCACGCCTGCAATCCTAGCTTCTCAGGAGGCTGAGATCTGAGGCTCACGGTTTAAAGCCAGCCCAGGCAGAAAAATCTGAGGGACTCTGATGCCCAACTAGCCAGCAAAGGAGTTACAAGTGGAGGTATGGCTCAAGTGGTAGAGCATCAACCAAGCAAAAGAAAAAAAGCCAAGTGTGAGAGAGCTTGCACTTGCACACATATGCACTTGTGTGCACGCACACACACGTATACACACACACACACACACACACACACACACACTCCCTGTCAGGGGACTAGGCAGAGGGCAGGACACGCTTCCCAGGATAGAGGTTGTCAGTCTGTGGACATCAAAATTGAGCCGCCTTCCCAGAGCCATCCATTTTATAGATGGGGAAACTGAGGCACAGATAGGGTGAGGCCAAGTGGACCCTCCCTCTCCTTTTGCTGAACCACAGGGACCTGGGAGCAAAGGGGCTATTCCAGGTGGCTGAGAATGACCCAACCCCTCCCCCCCCTACAGCCTTCCCTGGCTCCCACCAGTCCACCCCCTCCCATCTGCTCTAACCTAGTGGAGCTGCTTTTTGAGCAAAACACATACCCCAGGGCCTTTACACTGGCTGTAGCCTCTGCCCTAAATGCAATTCTGATTCTCTGCAGGGCTTGCTCGTCCCCCTCTCAACCCTCCATGCTTTTTTTCCCCCTTTCCTGCCTAGCATTCTGCACCAATGAGAGTCACCGGGTCCCCGGCCTCTCCCCTCCCCCCTTTGCTCAGGCCACTCCTGGGGGTGAGGGTGTGGGGGGACAATAGGGGGACAGAGAGCAGTGCCAGCCCATTACATAAAGCAGAACCCAGAGCTCAGGTGTGGCCAGGGCTAGGCATGGCCTTGGGTAAAGGAGGAAAAAGTGAGACCGCTCCCCCATACACACCCCAGCCCTGAAGGACAAACAGTTCCTGGGTTGGGGTTTTATTTTGGGGGGGGGGCAGCTATGTGGTTGATCTGGCTGATCAATGTCCCCAGGGCCATTTGGGAGTGGGCAGGGCATCATCAGCTGGTTCTGGGGGGATGGGGGAGTCTTGGGAACTGGGTACTCAATCATGGCTTAGAAAATGCCTTAGAGCTTTCAAGAAAATCCACAAAACCAACTAGGACCAGGGTGGGGGCTGAAGAGAGAAGGAGGGGAGGGGAGGAGAGGAGGGGAAGGGAAAGGAGAGAGGACGGGAAAGAAGGGGAGGGGAGGGGAGAGGCAGCTCTTCCCTAGGCCAGGCTGGACCCCAGACCAGCTGCCCAGGGTCACATGACTGCTGTGTTTGGCCCCAGCTGGGCCCCACCTGGGCAGCAGCCCCAGTGGTGTCTGTAGATTTGGGGCCCAGGCTATAAAGAAACGGCCTTCCGCCCACAGGGCCCCCCTGGCAGGACCTTTGCTCCCCCAGGGAGGGTCTGTCCTGGCCCCCTGCAGTCTCCCCATGACTCCAAAGTCCACAGGGCCCCACCTGGAGAGGAGGTACCTAGTCGTTGGGGAGGGTGGACCC